GACAATTTTAATTAGAGCCCTTTTAGACACCGAATATAACCTTTTTGTCGATAACCTTTTAAGACACTAATTACGGCCCTTTTTAGGCAATAATTAGAGCACTTTTTAGTCACTAATTAGGACCCTTTTTAGACAATAATTAGAGCTTCTTCTAGGCTCTATTTGTAGCCTTATTTCAATGCCTAGTCTTTTTGAATGCCCGGCCTTGCGAAGCGACGGTTCTATTTTAATATAGAGGCGGCGGCGGCGGCGGCACGCGTGTCACTTTAATAACGCGCGTCCCGGAAGCCCCCGAGCCGCCGCCGCCGCTCAATTATGCCGCCTCCTCGGCTGCTGCCTCCGGCTTGTCAACTTATCACCGACGGAATTGTCGGGCTGCTTAAATTTTATATTCAATTTTCCGACCGGATAGAAATTCGATTAGGGAACGTAAAGGGGGGCGGCGGTGGAGGCGGTGGATGAGGCGGCGCAGGGGGATATTTGAAATATTTTTTTTTCACTATAACATAATCAAAACTGTTTCTTAAATTTAAAAAGGGTCTTCTCCACTCGCCCCTATGCGGTTTTTCCATAATAAACCGCCCCCCGCCCACCCGCCCCCCCGATAACGAAGCTCACCTTTTCCCGCGACTTCGCTCCATTATCATAACGATAAGTTAATTTCGACGCAAAGTTGAAGAAGAAGAGGGAAAGAAAAAAAAAAAACTCGGCCCGTCGGGGGTGGGAAAATTAATTTCGCCGCCGCTCATCCAGTTAGCAGTTGCCGCGGCGACTTTCCCGAGAGCGCGCCGGCCGCTCTGCATTGCAAATGAGCGGAAAAACTGCCTTCTAGATACCCCTCGGGGGGGGCGGCGGGGGGCGGGGAGTTTTCGACTGTCCCTCGTATACAGCACGAACTGTATATCTAATTACTATTTGTATGATTAAAGATGGTTCGTAGAGGTCAGTTTTGTGCGCTTTTGATTGAGTTTAGTAGAAATTTTCACCCCTAAGTCAATATGAGATTTTCCACCCCCTAATTTTTCGACTGCGAAAAGTAGGCTTGTGACATCTCGTTTTATAGGGATTTTCGAGCTCTATTCGGTGGTACTAATTTTGTTTTATTTTGTTGCTAATAGTAACAAATATTTCAATATTTCTAACTAAACAAAAATTATACAACTCACCCTTTATATACAGGGTGTTCCAAAATTACATGCTAATATTTACGGGGTGATTTTTGGAGATATTTTAAGAAAAAAACTTTATATGAACCTATGTCCTAAATGTCTTAATTTTTGAGATACAGGGTGTTAAAGTTTTAAGAAAAAAATCAATTTTTTGTAATAACTATGATACTATTATAGATATCTTTATGAAATTTGGTACACATCTTCTATGAATCAAGATGCCTTTTCTGATATACAAATAATTTTATTGTTATCACCAGTGGCGTCCGTACGGGTTTTGCATTGAATATTATTGGAGAAAAAAATGGTATGCCACTGACTAATATCGAAATAAAAATTATTTTCAGAGTCCTCATTCGATTTAGAACAAATTTGATATCCTGACTTTTTTCCATACGACTCATCGTTTCGCTTTAAAAAAAATAAATGCATTCATTCTTACTTCAAATGGGCCCCAGTATTACCCCCTTAAATATCATTTTGTAACACCCTGTATAATAGGCGAAGGGGATTCGAAATTGGAGGAGACCTTGGAGGAGACTCGCGGAGAATCGTACAATCGAAATCGCTTTGTTTTTCCCCGCCGGTGAATTATTTTTCCCGAGAACATTTCCGATTAACCTCGTACTCGACCAATTCGATTTTATCGAAACCGTTTCGGACCTCGATTAAAGTCGTTTCCCGTTCGAAAATCGAGCGTATAAAGAAACTTTGAAGTAATTTGTATATTTTCTGTCCTTGTCCCTCTTCCCCCACCGCCCACCTACCGGAATTTAGGTATACCTACTTGATTTATCACGAATAATTCCCACAGAGATCATGTAGAAATTTGCTATCCTGCTTGACTTTTAAACAAGTAGATTGAATTTATCTCCCTTCTCTCTTTAACACACTATTTGTACGCTCGTTAGAAATGTGCTATCCTTGTCTTACTTCCCCCACCTCTCATTTATCGCTACCTACTTGATTTAATGCTTTTAATAAACACACATTCACCGATGACTTGATTCTATGAAAAAAAAGTTGACTTTTAAACAAGTAGATTGAATTTATCTCCCTTCTCTTTTTAACACACTATTTGTACGCTCATTAGAAACGCGCTATCCTCGTCTTACTCACGCGTTTTCCGGCCAACGAGCTCTAGGTAATCCTTTTGTGCGTCGCTCGGAAAATTCCCGGAAAATTTCTGGCGCATTTTCCCGCTCGGACGACGCCAAACTTTCCCGCCGAATAATCGAGGGGATTTCATCGCGAAAGTTTCGACTTTGCGGTGAAAACGGAGCGGAAAAACCCGAATTTCCCTGGCGGAAAATTCGTCATTTTTTTTCCGACGATAATTTTCATTTTCGCCCGTATTTATCGCGCTCGTAGAAATAGAGAAAATAATGCAGAGAGGTGTACGATTAAGTGCTCGAATAAAATTAAAAAAAAAACCCACCCCCCACTCACCCCCTCTAACCCTCCTCATCCCCTCTAACCTACCCCCGCCCGTTGGGTTAGAGTCGTCATAAAAGAGCAATGCAAAAATATATATCAAAGCGCTCCGTGAAATTCTAATCAAACGCATTCGAACGGACCGGGAAATTTTTAATTTAAATTTGGCAACCAATTAACGGGCATATATTGATGAGATTTTTTTTTTCGTTCGTACCGAACGTGCAATTAACGCGGGAAAACTTAATTAGTTTCAATCTGCCTTTATTAGATAGATTTGTTAGCGTTTCTATCCCTGTCTTTGTCTTTCTGTCACTCTCTTTCTCTCTCTCTCTATTTGTTGCACTAAGATATAGTATTCATCAGAATGCAGCCATCTTTGTCCTCCTTCTCCTCTCTTCATTTCCCTCTCTCTCTCTCTCTCTCTATCTGTTGCACTAAGAGAGAGTATTCATCAGAATGCGTCCATCTTTGTATTTCTTTCCCTCTCTTTCTTTCTTTCATTCTCTCTCTCTATCTGTTGCACTAAGAAATAGTATTCATCAGAATGCAGCCATCTTTGTCATTCTTTTTCTCTCTCTCTCTCTGATGCACTCCGTCAGAGTATTCATCAGAATCTACCTGACTTTGTCTTTCTTTCACTCTCTTTTTCTCTCTCTATCTTTTGCACTAAGAAAGAGTATTCATCAGAATGCGTCCATCTTTGTCATTCTTTTCCTCCTTCTCTTTCTCCCTCTCCCTCTCTCTCTATCTGTTGTACTAAGAGAGAAAGAGAGAGAGTATACATCACGCCTGCAACCGTCCTCGTCTTTCTTCCCCCACCCACCATACATTTCAACCTCACCCACTTGATCTATCGATCAAACAAATTCTTCTCTCTCCGTCTCAATTTATTTTTATTTTCCACTACATCTAGTCACAGTAGCAATCGTATAATAATAATTATAAAACGTTACGAGGAGCCATCGAAAGTTCTCCGAACAAAGGGCCCCGTCCCCCCCGAAAAATGACCCTACGCGCCGGATAGATAAATAAATAAATAAAAAAGAAGAATCAGAACGGAGAGGAAAACTCCCGAAACACCTCCGTTGTTGCTCCGGTTTCGAACGAAAGGATATTAAAAGTTTCCTTATCCGTCCGCATCGGATAAGAATCTCCATCTTTACCCCGGACCCGGAGGTTGTATAAATTGATAGCGAGCAATTGTTATTAACGACCCCGCTCTCCCCCATCATCCCGTCCCCCCGAAACGACCTTTTTATTGGGACTCCTTAAGATAACCGTAGGCAATAATGGGCCGGTTTTTCCGCCGCCCCTCGCGCCCGCCGCTCCCGGTTCGAACCGTAAAAAGCGACGACGACGGCGGCGCCAGCGTGGGGCCGAATCGGGGGGGGGCGGCGGCGGCGGCGGCGGCGCGACGCTCTCTCCCAACGTGCCGGCGACGCCGCCGACGACGACCTACTAAAAGTGAAAGGGATCCGGAATGATACATCGCTCCATTGGCGGACGGTAGACTGAGCTATAGGTGGAGAAATTAGAGTCGGACGGTAAACTGAGCTATAGAAATATTTAGTGTCGGACGGTAAACTGAGCTATGAGGATAATTACAGTCGGACGGTAAACTGAGCTATAGAAATATACTGCTTCACAAAAGTTAAGGAACTTAAGGAACACAAATATTGAGATTAATTTAAAAGTTTCAGGTTTTTTGATCGCCAAATTTAGTATGAGTTGTAGAGGCAGGGGCAAAAAATCCACTCAGACATGAGAAAAAATATTTAATTTCGCATATTTCAAAATTTGGTGATCAAATAGTCTGTAACTTTTAAAATAATCGCGAAATTTGCGAACTTCCTTAACTTTTGTGGAGCAGTTTATTTAGTGTCGGACGGTAAACTGATCTATAGGAAAAATTAGAGTCGGACGGTAAACTGATCTGTAAAAATATACTGCTCCCCAAAGGTTAAGAAAGTTCACAAATACTGAGATTAATTTAAAAGTTGCAGGTTTTTGATCGCCAAATTTAGTATGAATTGTAGAGGTAGGGACAAAATATCCACTCAGATATGAGAGAAAACATTTAATTTCGCATATTTGAAAATTTGGTCATCAAAAAGTCTGTAACTTAATTAAAATAATCGCAAAATTTGCGAACTTCCTTAACTTTTGTGGAGCAGTTTATTTAATGTCGGACGGTAAACTGAGCTATAGAAAAAATTCGAGTCGGACGGTAAACTGAGCTATATGAAACAAAACTGACGGTAAACTGGTACCTAAACGGTACCTAAACGGTACCTAAACAGTACCTAAACATGTTTCAAGATAATAGAACGTTTAGTAAGCGATGAAACGAAATTGTAAAAAAATTACGGCCTCTTACCTGAAGGGTTTCCGACGTTAATGCACCCAAGAGGGCGTCGTGACGGCGGCGTTGTAGGCGGGCGGCGCGCCCGACTGTCCGCCGACCAGCACCGGCGCCGGCGTCGCCGCCTGCTGCCCCACGCCACCTCCGACCATCACCCCCTGCTGGTGCTGCTGCTGGTGCTGCTGGTGGTGCTGCTGGTGGTGCTGTTGGTGTTGCTGTTGGCCGGTGAAGTTGAAGTCCAAGCCGCCCTCCATGTTCAGCTCGTGATTGATCAGCTCCTCGACGTTGCAATCGAAGCCGCCCTGCAGCGATTCCACGTTGATGTTGAGATCGTCCAGCAGGGTGCTGTTGTTGAGGGCCGCCATCATCTGGCCCATCATCGTCGACGGGACGGTCTGGGCGACCGCCGTTTGGGCGGGTTGGGGCGTCAGCGGCGGGCTGCTCGACGCCGGCCTTTGTTGTTGTTGCTGTTGTTGTTGTTGTTGTTGTTGTTGCATTCGGTTGATCATGTATTGGGTGTTGAGCGGGTCCGGCGAGGGCTCGGAGTGGGGGTACGATGGGGACATGCCCGCCGGCGACATGCTCTGTGAACATTACCAGTGATTTTTTTTTGTAAATATTGGATGGTTAAAGTGGAGGTAAAAAGATGGTAATAATGGAGGTAAAAATGGAGGTTATTAGGAGGTAAAAATGGAGGTGAGTGTAGAAGCAACTGTAAAGGTAAAATGGAGGTAAAAAGAAGGTAATAAGGAGGTGAAAATGGAGGTGAGTGTAGAAGCAACTGTAAAGGTAATTGATGGTAAAGATGAGGTAGAAAGGAGGTAAAATAGGGTAGTATAACAATTGAGGCAACAAATGTGCAGGCAGCAAATGAGGTAAAAATTGGAGGCAAATGTGAAGGTAAAACAGTTACAAATTGAGCTAAAAAATTGAGGAAAAAATGTGGTAGTATAACAATTGAAGCAACAAATGTGCAGGCAGCAAATGAGGTAAAAATTGGAGGCAAATGTGAAGGTAAAACAGTTACAAATTGAGCTAAAAAATTGAGGAAAAAATGTGGTAGTATAACAATTGAAGCAACAAATGTGCAGGCAGCAAATGAGGTAAAAATTGGAGGCAAATGTGAAGGTAAAACAGTTACAAATGGAGGAAAAAATGTGGTAGTATAACAATTGAAGCAACAAATGTGCAGGCAGCAAATGAGGTAAAAATTGGAGGCAAATGTGAAGGTAAAACAGTTACAAATGGAGGAAAAAATGTGGTAGTATAACAATTGAAGCAACAAATGTGCAGGCAGCAAATGAGGTAAAAATTGGAGGCAAATGTGAAGGTAAAACAGTTACAAATGGAGGAAAAAATGTGGTAGTATAACAATTGAAGCAACAAATGTGCAGGCAGCAAATGAGGTAAAAATTGGAGGCAAATGTGAAGGTAAAACAGTTACAAATTGAGCTAAAAAATTGAGGAAAAAATGTGGTAGTATAACAATTGAAGCAACAAATGTGCAGGCAGCAAATGAGGTAAAAATTGGAGGCAAATGTGAAGGTAAAACAGTTACAAATGAAGCTAAAAAATGGAGGAAAAAATGAAGTGAGTTTTTTTGTTCGATCATCGGTTGCACTTTACCTCGACTTTGATGGGTTGCATGCAGGAGCAGGACTGCATCCGGTGGACGGGGCACTGCGTCAGGCCGTAGGGGGAAGTGGCGTGCAGGGCGCTCAGGTCGCGGCATCCGGGAAATTGTTCGTAGGGGGCGGTGTAAGGCGGCGGCGGTTGGGCCGACTGGCCGTTTATGTACCTACAAATAAAACGAAATATTTTTTTTAAAAAGATGCCTGTACGAAATACGGAGGAAGATACCTGCGGTGTGGAGGGAGGAAATCTGGAAGAAATGTCCCATTGGAAAAGCGGTTAAGTACATTTTTTTTTGGCTCGGGTGGGTTATACAATTGGTTAGTAAAAACATTAACAGTTTTGTGCGCATAGTAAAAGGCCGGTGTTAGAGGAAAATACCAGTAAAAAAACGTATAAAAGGGAGCAAAGTTTTTTTTTGATTTTCGGAAGCTTTTTTGGTAGGTTTTTGGAAGCGAATGCGGGGGGAGTAGTAGTGTTTCGAGTAAACATTGAAAACGGTTAAAATTTTTGTTAGTTTTGACGAAAATCATAACGAGAATCACCCAAAAGCAGATGCCAGTCGATTAGAAATGGTTGTTTGTCAATTACTAGCATTATTTGTCGAATAAATATGGCTGTCGACCAAAAGCAGTCTTTATCGATTAAAAACGGCCTCTTAACGACAAAAAACAGCCTTTTGTAGACTAAAAACAGCCTTTTGTCGACCAAAAACAGCCTTTAATCGACTAAAAGTCTTCAGTAGACAAAAAACAGCCTCTTGTCGACTAAAAATAGCCTTTTATCGACTAAAAACAGCCTTTTGCGGACCAAAAACAGCCTTATATCGACTAAAAACATTCTTTTGTAGACTAAAAACAGCCTTTTGTCGACTAAAAACAGCCTTTTTTGACCAAAAACAGCATTTTGTCGACTAAATAAAACAGGTATCTATAAAAAAACAGCCTTTAGTAGACTAAAAACAGCCTCTTGTCGACTAAAAACAGCCTTTTATCGACTAAAAACAGCCTTTAATCGACTAAAAACAGTCTTTTATTGACAAAAACCGCCTTTGATCGACTAAAAACAGCCTTTTGTCGACTTAAAACAGCCTTTTGTCGACTAAAAACAACCTGTAATCGACTAAAACCAGCCTTTAGTCGACCTAAAACCCCCTTTAGTCGACCAAACAGAACCAAATCGACCATCCCAAACCCCTTTCGACCACACAAACACCCAAACGCCCACAACGCAGACTAGAATAGAGCACAGCAGAGGCACCACCAGTACAAAAAACAAAACAAAAAAAAAACAGTACAACAAACACGTATGACGTAACGCATACGAGGGGGGTTGGAGGAGAAAATTCGTCGGTCGGTTCGGATGCGCTCACCCCAAATAGCCGTCGGGCTCTAGCTTCATCCCCTGTTGCAGATTGCCGGCCAATTGGTCGGAGACCGCGTCGGCGGCGGCGGCGGCGGCGGCGGCGAAAGGTTGGCCGGCGAACTGGCCGTGCTGAGGCCAGTCGGGCTCGACTCCCACCAGCGAGGGTATGGGGGACAAGCGGCCGCAGGAGGACGTGTTCGAGGAGGCTCTCGGTCTGAAATCGGGGCTCAATTGGAAAGTGCCGCTATAGAGGGGGGAAAATCAAATTAAAAAAAAAACAAAAACAAAAAATTATATCAAACGTAACTGTTAGAGGGGGTGGTTTGTTTTGTGGGGTTGTATCGTATGGATTGAAAAGAAGATGAGAATATATGGGTAAGTGAGCAGATGAGAAGAAGTTTAGTGGTTGATGATGAAATTGATGAAGATATAAAACAAACAAGGTGGTTTTTTTGAAGAGAAAATGAGCCCGGAATATATGGGTACATGATAAGATGAGAAGAAGCGATTGATGATGAAATTGATGAACTTGATGATGAAATTGATGAAAAACGCAGGGTGGTTTATTGAAGAGAAAATGAGCCCGGAATATATGGGTACATGATAAGATGAAAAGAAGCGATTGATGGTGAAATTGATGATGATTGAATCGAAATAACATGCTGGTAGAGCCGAAACTTTGGGGAGACTTTGGCCGAATAAACCGCAATAATTTTAATAACTTGTAATTAAGTAAATACCGATTTATTATAATAATATGTATGTACACTTTCGATAAAAAAGCGAAAATTAAATCAAATAAAAAATAAAATGAGTAATAAAAAAAATAATAACCGGATGGAAGGTTTGCGGGGAAACTTAGGTACTTTACACTACTTACAACATGTTATTTCTGGTGAGAGGATATAAAATGAAATGGGAAACATATACGGGGTGTTTTAAATATTTTTTTAATGTAATTTTTCTTCTTAAATTTCAGCGAATTTAAAAGAATTTTCAATTTGCAAATCCTGGTCTTCCTGTCAGTTAAAACTTTTCATTTATCAGTTAAAAAATGTCTAATTGATGATCAAAATCAGTCGTTTTAGACTAAATACAGTCAGTTTTTAGACAAAAAATGTCAATTATTGGCCAAAATTAGTTGTTTTTTAACTAAAACAGTCCTTTTTGGACTAAATATGTCCATTTTTGACCAAAATCTAGTTTTTGTGGACTAAAATTGCCTTTTGTCGACTAAAATCAATCCATTGTCGACCAAATCAGTTCTTTATCGACCAAAAATGATCCTTTCTTGACTAAAATGAGTTCTTTTTTACTAAAATCTAGTCATTTGTCGACTAAAATCAATCCTTTATGGACAAAAAAAAAACAGTTCTTTGTCGACCAAAAATACTCCATTGTCGACTAAAATCAATCATTTATCAACTAAAAACCCTCCTCTAAAACAACCCCTCATCACCTCATCCCCCATCTCTCCAACATCCAAACACCCCGTACATAATCCTACGTCGTAGAAAAACTAAAGTAACTCACACAGCAAAACCCAAACTCACCTATGCAACGGCGAATCCGGAAACAAATCCAGGCTCTCGCTGACCGACGAACTCGGGCTGGGCGTCGTATCAGGCAGACAACCGTTCCTGATCATCTCGACCTTCTTCTTCGCCCTGCCGCGCTTCTTCTCGTACTTGCTCGTCTCCATGGAGGCGGCGCGACGCCGCACCGATTTGCCCGGCTTCGCGTCCGGATTCAGCATCCACCACGACGATTTGCCCGTTCCCTCGTTCTGCACCCGCATGAACCGGTTGTGCAACGACAGGTTGTGTCTGATCGAGTTCTGCAACAAAAAAAAATGTTCGTCGATTAGCAACAATCGTTCGTCGATTAGCAACAATTCATAGTCGAGTAGCAACAAGCGTTTGTCGAGTAGCAACAATTCTTAGTCGAGTAGCAACAAGCGTTTGTCGAGTAGCAACAAACGTTTGTCGAGTAGCAACGGTCATTTGTCGAGTAGCAACGGTCATTTGTCGAGTAGCAACAAGCGTTTGTCGATTAACAGCAAGTATTTGTTGATTAACAGCAAGTATTTGTCGATTAGCAACAACCGTTTGTCGATTAGCAACGGTCACTTGTCGATTAGCAACTATACTGCTTCACAAAAGTTAAGGAACTTCACAAATATTGAGATTAATTTAAAAGTTGCAGGTTTTTTTATCGTCAAATTTAGTACGAGTTGTAGAGGTAGGGGCAGAAAATCCATTTAGATATGAGAGAAAACATTTAATTTCGCATATTTGAAAATTTGGTGATCAAAAAGCCTGTAACTTTTAAAATAATCGCAAAATTTGCGAACTTCCCTAACTTTTTTGGAGCAGTTTATTAATTGTCGATTAGCATCAACCATGTGTCGATTAGCAACAATTGTTTGGCGATTAGCAAAAATTAATATTCTATTAGCAACAATTATTTGTCGGCTAGCAACAATTGTTTGTCGACTAGCAACAATTTTATAATATTATTTTACGAATAATTTCAGTAGTGTTTGGATATTTTTACGATTATCTAGAGTAGAAAATGAGGAAAAAAATGTTTTTAAGTATCTATAGAAATGGGTTGTAAGGAAGGTGGAAATAGAAAAGGGTCTCTTCCATAATGGATACGTCAAATTAGTTTTTTTCCTGACGTTTTTTCCGAAACGCTTTCCATTATTCAATGGGGCATTTTTCCGCATTCAAGAAAGGAAATGCACGTTGAATAATTGAAGAAAATCGAATTGTTAGATATGCAAATGACCATCGTTCGTATACGTAATTGAACGTGTTTGTACATCAAAAGATCGTGTAAGTAATTCCTGAAATTGTTCCGTGGAAATTGAATGTAAGGGAAAATGGATACGCGGGTTTCGAGATGGGCAATCGCGGGGTCTCGCGAGCTGCGCGAGCTCGGGTTAGTCGGTGTTTAGAAATCGAAAGGTGTTGTGGCGAAAATTCGGTGTTATCTCGAAAATTAAGCGAGATAGAAATGTGCTGTTTGTTTCATTTTGTAGAAAAAACGTTTCTCTTCGATTTTCGAAGAATCGGAAATTTTCAAAAATCGCGTAGTTTTCGAGATATTTCGATTTTTATATTTGTCGAAACAACTTATTTTTAATACAACAAAAATCGATGAAAAAATCGCAATTATCTCGCAAACAAATCGAGACAGAACCACCCCGTTTTCACCATCTTACAAAACAACCACTCCTCTACAATTTTCAAAGAATCGAAAATTTCCAAAAACCGCCCCATTCCCGAGATATTCGAAATATTCGAAAAAAACACACCCATCCGCACATCGTCCACCCCGTATCCACCCCCCCCGCGTCCGCCCCGCAGCATCAGCGCGTCGCTTTCCCGGCAGCTTTTCGCTTTTCCTCCATTCCTTTATTTCGGCACCCACGGCCGTCTCGGCGGGCGCCGCCACACGGGCGCCCACCGGCGCCGCTCGTCCTCCAGGTGAACCGGCCCCGCACGTGCCAGTGCCGCCCCTTCCGACCCCCCAAACTAAATCACTTGTTGACCCGGCGACGTTTAACCCCCGAACCGCTGCAACCGCCCCTCCACCGCCCCTAATAACCCCGAAAACGGGCGTTAAATACGCGTAATTCGTGTTGCATAACTCCGGAGTAATTCGTGTTGCATAACAACCGTTTTTTGGAGTATTTGAGCGTTGTAAAACCCTGTGTAAGGGTAGAAACGGGTGAACTACACCTGTATATGGTTCGAGAAGGCCGGGAAATTATCCGGCGGCCTCCGACTGCTCGGTAATCCGGTCTAAAAGAGCAGGAACTCTCTCTGCATGTTCGCGCGCGTTTTCTTTGTGAAGTCCCGGGTAGACGGCGACGCCGACGCCGACGTCGGGCTGGATGGACGTCGCCCGGAGGTTTTTACGACGGGATATCTCCGGGCCGATCTCGGACGGGCCCGCGGAGCTCGTAAAAACTTTCCCGATGGAAAGGAGAGACGTTGATTTTATTGCGTTCGCGAGAGGAAATATTGAAATGATTTTTTTCTTCTACTTCTTCTTCTTGTTCTCATCTGGTCGTTTTCGTTCGGGGGATGAAAGGGGGATGTGTCAATGAACTTGATATATGCGTTGTGTAAGGGGTGGGATTTTTTTATACAGGGCGGTTTCTTTTCGAAGGAACTTAAATGGATTGTTTAATACACTGACTGATTGGAGATTGCTTTAAGGGTAGGTATGAAAAAAAAATAGCAAATCAACGTTTCCACTTCCTGAAACTATCGGAGGAGATTCCGAAAATGTACAGGGTGGCGCGCGAAACTCTACTAAATTCTCTCCATTAAACACCCTTCTTCTATTTTAACATTCAACAAGGGGCGCGTTTGTAGCTAATTAATCGAATCATCGCCAGGTAATTGTCTCGACAAAGAAACCCGGAATCGTAATCATCCCTCTTTCGCCGGAACAACCCCTCTTTTACGACCTAATGGAATTCACCGGGTGAATATATAGGGGTTGATTTACGGCCCGATTCTACTTGAACGAAACGGGCGCTAATTGGAGGTTGAGTTAAGAGCGCGAAAGTTAACTCATTATAATTCGCCCTTAATTCGCGTTAAAGGGTTGGAAAAATTCGAAATTGGTGTAGATTCGGGGTAGATTAGTAGTAGATTCGAGAGTAGAGTTACGAGAAGATTTAGAAGTAGATTTAGAGTACATTTAAGAGTACATTTAATAGATTCAGGGATATATTAAGGAGTAGATTCAGAGTGGATTCAGAATAGAGTAGATTCATAGAGTAGAGTAGATTCAGAATTGAGTAGATTGGAAGTAGATTCAGAGTAGATTCACAGAGTAGAGTAGATTCAGAATAGAGTAGATTCGAAGTAGATTCAGAGTAGATTCACAGAGTAGAGTAGATTTAGAATAAAGTAGATTCGAAGTAGATTCAGAGTAGATTCAGAATAGAGATTCAGAATGGAATAGATTATGAATAGAGTTCAGGAGTAGAATGAGAATAGTGTAGAGTAGGAGTAGAGTAAAATAGAGTTGAGAACTGGAAAAATTCAGGAATATATCAGAAAAAATCTAAAAAAAATCAGAAAAAATCAGGAAAAATCAGGAAAAATCAGGTAAAATCAGGAAAAATCTGGAAAAATCTAAAAAAAACCTTGAAAAATCAGAAAAAATTTGGAAAACTCCTAAAAATTAGGAAAATCATTAAAATCAGGAAAAATCGGGGAAAATCAGAAAAATGAAGGAAAAATCCAAAAAATGAGGAAAATCAGGAAAAATCGGGGAAAACAGTGAAAATTCCCGTTCGGATTTTTCCGGCGTCGCGACGCTCATGCGGGCGTCTCGTTAGCAACAGTTCCTGACTGGGCGTAAATCAAAATGGAAGGATATAGGGAGCCGCAGGTGAGCCATAAACGTTGCTCTTTTTGCGGGCGTAATTCAAATTTTATGTCCGAATATTTGCGTAATGAAGCCCTTTTCGAAAATCGACTCTCGACGATTTTCCCTCCGACTGAATTTTCTCGAATATAGTTAAGAAAGAATCTAGTAGCTTTGGTGAGATATCGGTGTATTTTCTTGATTGGAAAGAAAGGGAATTATTTCGAAAATTAATAGAGATAGAAAGGATCTGTTTGTTTTAATTTGTGGGAAAAACGTTTCTCTATCATTTTTGAAGAATCGAAAATTTTCGAATATCGCGTAATTTTCGAGATATTTTGAGTTTTTTGATGTTTCGAGACAACTAATTTTAATGCAAGAAATTTCGATAAAAACAACAATTATCTCGAAAACTAATTAAGTTAGAAACAAACCGTTTAGTCCATTTTATAGAAAAATTATTCCTCTACAATTTTGAAAGAATCAAAAATTACCGAAAATCGCGTTATTTTCGAGATATTTCGAGTTTTTATTATTACGAAACAACTAATTCTACTGCAACACCTATCGATTAAAAAATAACAATTATCTCGAAAACTAATCAAGATAGAAACACCCCGTTTACACCATTATATAGAAAAACCATTCCTCTACAATTTCGAAAGACTCAAAAATTTTCGAAAACCGCCCCATTTCCGAGACATCCGAAATATTCGAAAATATCATCGCTTTTACATCACTGACCCTCTAAAAGCTCAACTAACCTCAACTTCACCAACCCTTAAACTCTAAAAAAATCCGAATCCAAATCGCATCTAAATCGCCACCGATTGATTAACAAATCCCCAACCCCCTTAAAACACATCCACCGGAATTTACTACCCTTACAGCCCATCAGACGACGTCCCGACGCTTATCAACCCCCCTAAACATCGGATACAAATCGCACTGAAATTCCGCTCGACCGACAATCCACCCCTATTTTTTTCATCCATATCGCGACCCCTCATCCACCCCTAAGGAAGCGCGTAATGGATTAATTCGTCGATTTCCAGGACCGGCTCGAAGCCACCCCCTCAACCCTTTAAAGCGACATCTATCGGAACATTTTCGGACTCGATGTAACTTGTCTCAGAGGGGGTGGGCATCCCCTCGGAGTAATTAACGTGGTACAAAGTCGTCGGGATTGTAGCTAAGTAGCTCGAATCGTAAGAATTCCCATAGTTAAATGAATAATTCATCAAGTCTTTTGACGTGGGAGGCGGTGGAGAAGACGCGGGAGAGAAGAAAGTGGCGGAGGGTGGTTTAGCACGGTCGGAAAGGGGGTTGAAAGATTTGGTGGTTCGATTTCGAGGTCGGTAAGTTGGGGAAGTTGTGTTGGATTATCGGGTTTTTTTGGGTATTGGGCGGTTTTTGGGGATGTTTGGTTGTGCAGGGGTT